GAGAGAGAGAGAGAGAGAGAGAGAGAGAGAGAGAAACACAAATACGAAATTTAAACGCAAAATATACTATTTACTAGATTTTTGAATTGTAAATAAAGTTTTCTGATCAAAACATTATTAAAATTAAACTGTTCAATAATTTAAATTATATAAATTTTATTAAAACAAAATTAAAAGCATACATTATATCGTATATATTCTACTATATTCAATTATCTGAATACAGGTATATTTAATTATAATATAATTAAAAAGTGTACATAGAGTAAGCGTATTATTTTAGTATAATAAGTATATATCTGTGTGCAATATATTAATATTATAATATATTACAATAAGCTACAATCAAAGGTACAAATCATTTGTAATAATCAAAGCTTTACAGATTGAAAGTCAAGTTAACAATGAGATCAAGATTTGTTTTACATGTAGACTGTCCTCTCATTTACATTATTATATTCCAGACAGTTATATAACTTTACAATTTAAAATAGTTATTGTAGTTACATTTGATAAAAATCAAGTTTTAAGATTAATTTAAGCCTTGAAATATCTAATTATATTTCAATTACTGTAAAATTAGGAATGAATAGACCATATAAATCGAGTCGATTGTAATTATAAATATTTAATAATCTCTATTCAAAATTTGTTACTTTCAAAATAAATTCATCCATTACTATTAAAATAACTAATAAAATGAATATTTTGAAAATAAACAGTCACAGTAAATAAAGGTGTAGAGAGATTATCAATAAAAATTAATCAATTTATAAGGTCTATTCATATCCGTACGTACCTAACCGTACACTAAAATTCCTAACTGTAAACACTTACCACCACTACACTGTATGATAATATAAATTTTTTAATTGAAATTTATTTTTCTCTTATAAAGACCCGGATTGAAATAGATATGTCTCAATGTGTATACGGAGACCATTACTATTTGCGGGTCACTATCACCCTGCTCATACGCCAGTCGTTTACGTGTCTATTAAATATCCAAATAATATTTTAATTTAATAAATGAAATAATAATAATATAAATACTGTAATTCAAATATATAACATACCAGGTTAACCAAATCAGTGAGATGCATGTTACAAGCGTACTGCGCTATTGTATAACTGAATGCCTGTCCAAATAGTGTTATACCCTC